CCCCCCCCCTAATTTAAATGACGTAATATATGGACGGCCCCTAAGCTCATAGTAATCAAAGCGGGACTAAACAGTTGTGCGATAGTTTAGTCAAGAGTCAAAGGTGTACCTGTTCGCAGTTCCTAGAATAGTTCTGTGTATTATCTATGCTAGCAAAGTTATTTCAAGACTGATACCAGTGTAGTGCTCGATATTTACGGTTCACACTGCCGAAACATGTACAAAAACATATTGGTGTCTCTCTCAATTTCTTAGAAATACATAGAGATATCAATACGTTTTTGTTCATGCGGTGGAATGTTCTGCATTTAGTAATACGGGAAAATACGATAGGCTTATCAAAATACGTTTTAAATAAGACTAGTTTAAACCAAAACATGTTTTTAGATTTAATGCAAATGTGCCTCTTATGATGTTAGATTATGATCTTTATAAACATGTAAAACATATTTTAGAACATATGTTACATATTGAAGTATAGTTTTTATAGTGACAGCAATTAAACAATAATTTTGTCAATTTACGAACATTAAATGTTTTGGCTATATGTGATGTTTGATATTGAATATCAAGCAATAATGCTTATTTTTTCAATTAAAAAAAAAACAGTGTAGTTTTAGATATTTAGTAATCAAGGATTTTTATACAAATATAAAACTTTTTATAATTTTGAACTCCTTGTTTTATTTTAACCAATGAGAAGAATATTAAAGTAAAGAAAAATGTCGGATATAAATACAATATCTTACATGTAAACAGGCCGAGTATATAAGCCCCTTTTCATAAAGAACATTTGGAGCGGGCGCACATTTGACTAAACTGTCGCACAACTGTTATGAGATTGTTTTAATCAATATTTTATCACTACAAGTAATACAAGGTCACAGTATATGTATGTACGAAAGTGACACGCTTTACATACAGAGGGGATGACAAAATTAACGTATTGTCCAAGCAGTTCTACGTTTACGTTACATAAGTATATGTTCTTGAACCAACTAATAAATATAAAAAATGCTTGTTATAATTAATTAAGAATATATACGCTTAGAGTTATTTAAAAGATACCGAATCCAATTTAAAAAAAGGTTTCAGATATTGCTTTCAATTTGGTTCAACGACAGCTGCGTTCCAAAAATTTTGTTTAACAAATTACTTCGCTTCGTTCAAATTAAAATTGTTCATTTACCCAGGATCCTCCTTATTTAGACTACAAGCGATGGTATTAAGCTTTACTCTACAAATAGAGTGGATTTCAAGAACTTTGTATTTAATCCGACGACCTCATTCGCGTTTAAACTAGTTAAAGACAGTTCCCGTGTTAAAGCAGTGAATTTTATAAATAATTAAAAAATAAGTCGTATTTAGTTCATTTTATATTGCATAAATAAACATTGAAAATTGTAGACTATTTCTATCAGTCCAATAATTAATTTTAACGCAAAATATAGAAATATTAATTGAATTCGACTATTATTTTTTACTAACATTTAAATTAATTGTTTATTAATACGCGTTATAACAAAATGACTTACAATAAACAGGCGTTTAAAATATACAAGGTAGTTTCTGCCAGTTTTCTCATATGAATATATTCTAGAAATACAACTGACATCACATATAGGAAAAGTAAATTCTTCGCGGCTCACAAGCTCTGGCTACAACTCTTTAGTGTTCGTGGTTGGTTTTAAGCAGATATTTCTTTACCGCTTTAAATGGACCAGTTTAAAAATTAAAAAATATTTTCTTCATTTACCTTAGTCTAAAACTGTAATGTGTTATATTTAAAAAAAATAGAAACCGTTTATAGTACCTCTAGTATTATGATCGGTATTCCCGTCAAACATAGCCCGCTTTTCTTATAAAAATAACTTCTGAAACAGTTTTTCCTGAAATGTTCAAGTTCTTTATGCATTTTCAATTTAAAATCAGAAAAATAAACTCAAATGAAGTTTCAGTAATGACACCAATCAGTCATTTTAACTGGGTAACGATTTTTTTGTCTTAACCAATGTTTTAAGTAAAGTTTAACTGTTCGATAACTCGTGCATTTCTCAACGGCGAGTTACTGCTAACGAGAATAAGATTTATTGCTCTACCTTTATCTTAACTACTTAAACTGTGGAGTTAAATGTTCTTTTAAGTTGTATTATTCGTTTCGAGGTATATTTCTAAACTGTCTTGCATTTTTTTTGTATGTAGATTTTTGGAGTTTGAGCACTTAACTTGTAATCTACAGATTTTGGATTCGAATCTCGCCGTGTACAATGCGGTTTTCGATATTTCGAATTTTCTTATGTAAAAAATTTACCTTTGATCTTACGGTGAAAGAAAACATCGTGATGCCTGCAGATATCGGCGATGAAATTCATAGATTGTGTGAAGTCAACCAACCAGTAGTCCACCAGCGTGGTTGCCTAAGTCCTAGTCAACATAACTAGAGTAGGCTTCGAGCCCTTCAGTGGGGACGTATAGTAAGCTAGAGATGATGTATTATTAAATAATAATATTACATAGGTTTACACCAAAACCTTAGTTTTTATTGTATATAATGGGTAAGAAACCTGCATCGTATAAATAGGTCTTGATTTTTTTGACTTGAAAAGAGCAATTATTATACATTCTATGAATTTTATTTACAATGTCACTTAACGTTGGATCTTTTTTAATTAAATAGAGATGGATTAAAAAGTATCAATATCATTTTCAATATGAGACTTCGTTCAAACAATTTAGGTTAGTGAAGTTATTAGGTTAATTGCATGAATGAGGTAGCTTGTACGTGTGGTACCTTAAGGTTGCCTAAAACACTAAATAACAAGTATCCCGATAATAAGCTGCACTTAAATATTATAGGGTTTGTGTGTGGGGTACGTATGCAAATTAAATTTTACCATTATCCATAAAATTAAAGCTAAAATTTTTGTCACTTGATGACAAACATATGTTAGTTGCAAGAATAAAAATCGCAAATACTTATTGTTTATTCATTTGGAAAATTAATACGATAAATGAAATCTTAATAAGCAACCGTATTGGTTATTATCTTACTAGTATTATAAATGCGAAAGTTTAGATGGATGGATGTTAGAGTTTGTAGCCTAAACGGCTGAACGGACCTCGATGACAAGGGCGTAAAGAATAGACTGGAAGAACACATAGGCATTTTTTTTCTCTATGCGGACGAAGTCGCGAACAGCCAGTAACTTCACAAATAAATGATTAGGTATAATACTTCAAAGTACGAGGTTAGAGCGCAGTAAAGATCATGTTTTAACCATAAAGCACTTTCATCCTGAGTCTGATATTACTTGCATTTTTCATAAACAATACGGAACGAGTAATGCTTTCCGCGAAGCCACTTCAAGCCGAGCGTATTGTTTCTACAAACGTTAACCACAAAGAATGTTTCTTAAGGTTTGTATTTTCTTAAGTTGCCTATTACAATGTTTTAATTGCTCTCATATTCTTATTTCGATTATTTTCTAGAGCATTACAGTTTGTTCATAGAAAAATGTGTATTTTATGCAACTTTGAATAGACATTCACTAAGAATGTTTTAACGAGATATCTGTACACAATAAAAACTTATTGACCACTACGCTGAACAAGAATGAGTTTAAACCAAGACGATAGGCATAAAATTATTAGTTGGGAGTTTTTTTTTATTAAGATATGAACATTCATAACTTTGTATTGTGAAAAGAACATTTTTAATAACAATAATTAGCGACATCTATTGTACTACATGTAAACTTAACAATTAGTATAATTCAAATTGTTTAGATACTTACTCATTGTTTTGGTTAAATTTAAATTAAATTGAGTTATTGAATATGTTAGCTAAACCAGTATATTGAGGTAATATACCCTGTGTAAATGTTTTCCGTATAGATTTGCCTTAATAAGCGAAACTGTCTAGAGCTGTAACAACAAACGGTATCGCTCTAGATTCCTGCTTATTCCTAGAATTTTAACAGAGAAACAATACTAACGTTAGCTTTATGACGTGGTCACAAACATCTT